GACTAAACTCAAGGTCACAGGTGGTTCAGTGTGTGACTGTTAACCTTTTGACTATCTGCTTCGAAGGATTGTTGGAATCCCTGCGGACAGATATTTGATCCCAACATGTTGGGAATATTTTTATTGGTTCTCAGGTAGCAAACCCTTCAGTATTAACTGTTTCCTTCATTGTTTAATGTGCTACTTTGCATTAAAGAAACTTTTGACTGTATAGCACAGGCTGTATCGTTTGAAGTATTTGGTACTTTTGATATAATTTGTTCTGTTTTCTAAATGAGGACCTACTATATTTAGCACAGAGTTTGTGTTCTGATATAATATGATACGAGTATCTCAAAAACGCGTTGTACGCTATACAGGGGAACGTAGTCTGGTCTAATCGAATAAATTTTGGTTCGTCAGTCCGTTGTTCCAGCCGAATACTGGTTGTTCGGTCGTTACATACTATTTGATGAAACTACTTCACGAACTTAGAAATTCGCATAACGAAACAGCCGGTTATAGAGCGAGTACTTTCTAAGTGTTAGAAACAATTATATATTAACAACGGTTAACCTCCTTATAAAACTAAAATAAATAGATAATTAGCGTATGTGAGGGAGTTTATTGATACATCATTACTGATTGATTACGGTCAACACTTGATGCAGAAAAGTTAACTCACAATCTGTATATACAGTTCGGTTAGAATTATAACCATAAAGGACTTTGTTATAGGCTCTTTCTTACGGTATGACCCAGCTATTCCTATTGCTTAGTACTCTTGGACACCAAATCACTCAACAAGTCCCCAAATCAGAACACGGTTGAACAGGAAAGAGATTATATTCCAAATAACAAGGTTAGATGGAAGAAGATGCAAGCAAGAAGCACAATAGAGAAAACGTTAGTAGTTTTTACATGAGAAGATTCTAGAGTATTCTCTAGCCATCGGCTAGTGCTGATTGGCTAATTCTTAGCCAATCAGCGTGCACTAAAGCAATCGTGCATTGAGCATGCTTTAATTCAGTCTGTGTCCCGCTAACAGACTTCTTGTAGTGTACTGAGTTCATGCCACATCTCCACACTTTTTTATATCTTAGGCCATGTTTCACACCATAAAACAAAACGATACAGAAATAAATACTGGGGAAACTGGAGTCTTGCCTAGTTACAGGTGATTCTTAAATAATCACTGTCGACTTTTCTTTGAGATTCCATCACAAACCACTATCTGTATTAATCCACAATCTGCAGTTCGTGACTTCCCTGGCTCCGTAAGAGCTGTAAATACTGTTTTCTTCGTCATGGAAACGAAAATACTGTGTTATTATGGAAGGTGTTTGTGCCATCTAGCTTCACTGGAGTTCATTGTCCTTAAATATCATTAGCAATGTACCGTATACTTCGTAAATGATTGAGCTCATCTGCAAGAGTTTATCTTCTTATGTACGCTAGAAGGATATTTAAAGCCAGTGAAATCCCACGAAAGCCTAGCCACGTCATCTGGTAGTCAGGTCACTGAATACCGAACAGTTTTCTGATCCTCATCACGGTCAAGGACAAACAATTTACACCAGTTAATTGAGTGCGATGGACTAGTCTCTACTATGGTGGCCTCACTCCGTCTCTTATATCTACTCTGAATAACATATTTCCGTATTAAATCCGTCTATGTTGTACGGTCAACAAAGTAGTCTTAGTATCTGGATACGATGAAAGGGTAATCTACGTTAGGTACTAACCGTAAGGTGTGACTTTGACGTTTGCTGGTTGGTCACGTCATTCCTGACTAGTTCGAGTAGGCCTTCAGTCATTCGACACAGACTATCTATGTTGGTGAACTACTGATATGGCGGTTAGAATACTGGCATGTCTCAAACATTCGACAATTTCAGTCACAAGTCTCCCATGGTCGACCATGAAAACCTAATCACTGTTTCCGTATTCAAAATAGACGTGACTAATTTTTTGCAGTTCCAGTACAACTTTCTTCTATAAGAAAAGAGTAATTTGGCCGACAAAATGAACTATTTATCGTGACGTACCTACTGACTGTTATCTTGACTTCAGTAGTTCTCGTTGCCGATGTTATGGGATTCCATCTGATATTACGTTATTTTCTGAACATGATCAACTTTTAAACCAAAGCGATGGGGCTGTGAAGAGCATTATGTTTCCAAGATCATGTTGCGGAGCCACAATCAAGCTAAAGTATAAGCTTAATTAGTAAAAACTGTCATTTAATATTCTTTGGAATGATTTGAGGATTTTGTTGCAGCAACATGCTACTCGAATATGGGAGCACCTTGAATTCATGTAATACAACGGGAACCAAACCAACTCAGCAATCCATGTACGGAATGGTCGCCTAAAACCGTTTTCAAGGTTGGCGGGCGGTTTGAGAGTGTTGACAAAGTGTTTAGCTCACTGCATTTAAGTCAGGAACTCCTTTTACTTTTCCAGTCTGTCGCCACACGGTGACCTTTTTGAAGACATTCGCTATATATTTAAAACGATTTAAACTATTTGTCTTCGAGAACTTGCCAAGCGAAATCCAATTACAAATGAGACACCATGTGTGTACATATACACGTGTGTGCACACAAATTTGATGTCATTTTCGAAATATCTCATCCAAATTGTAAAATGACTTAAAAATAACCCGTCAAGCTGAAAAGTCTGATGGCGATCTCGTAGTTGCCTGGTCATCATTCATAAGTCCTTACAACCAGTAATCTGGGGTGAATCCATTACATTTATTGTGTAGTCATCTGAATCGTGTCGGTGAATAGTTTGCAATATTACATGATTTTGAGAGCTCATTTTTGACATCTACTGATTCATCTGATCAGGTAGGGAATCCAAACCTTCCTGTAGTTTCGTCTTATTGCCGACTCATGTGGATTTTCAAACATTAATCTAATCCACTGATAATAGGACCAGTGAGTTTGTTACATTTAGTGACTTGGTTGCTCAAAGTAAAACAGGAGGAGATTCACGGATTGTCTTTTGGGAGATCCAACTCTTCATATATTCTTAAGATGAAAATTCACTGTCCATTCGTACACTTTACCTCCCACCACTAAAAAAGTTATTAATTCAGTTTTTAACTCTGTAACCAATTCTAAGACATAAGTTTAACTTACTTTAAGAACCGCCAGAGAGACCTTATTAAGGGCTCTATTGAGATCTATATCTGCCGGACCGCTATATTTTCTATAAGGAGACTGATCAAAAATATCAGATCTGTCTTAAGGCCGTGTTATCCCCTCACTAGGAGAATATTCCCTTCAGTGTGACCTAGAAAAACAGCCCGAGTAGGTTCTTCCACTTCTCTGACCACTGTACTAGTAAGTTTAACTGGGAGATATTGACCAAATTTTTATCCTGTTTTATAAATCTAAGTAATCGTATCATCCTTCCAATCTCTTGGTAGTTCTGACTGCTTCAAAGACTTATAAAATACTATTCCCGGTGGTCCAGCAGTTTCCATTCAAGTATGGATGTTGTTAAGACCGCGCGACTTATCTGGCTTGATTTATTTCAGTGGTTTTACGACAACTTAATAATCACAGAATCCATCGACATTGTGTCATCATTATAACTAACAACTAATCGCTTATCGTCCACTGTGAAAACTACGGCCATATGACAGCAATAAGTGAAACTGTCTCATTACATTTATTGGCACCTCTACATGTACTGTGACTCACCTTGCATGATTCAGTGGATTCATTTTTGATAAGATGGAAACCCAGACTTCCAATATCAACAAAGTATGATAGTCTAAGCAGATATTTGCAAGTATATAAAAACTGAACAGTTTAGTTTCAAACAAAATAAACCTATAGGAAATCTACACTAGATTACAAACCTTGCAAAGTGAGTGTAAGGACCTCTGGGAAGTGAATGGTACTCTACATCGTTAGTTTTTAGACCTCCCCATGTTATTTGTCATCATGTTGCTTTCTGACTGACAACAAATCATGCGTCTACCCGTGATACTATTGTTCTTATTTTCTGTGTTCACATAACATGATTGGTCTGATCATAAATAATGGTTTGTTTCTTAATAATAAAATAGATTTATTCGTAATTGTAAACTCTGTTACAGTACGGATTCTCACTATCAGCTGTACAGTGTTACAATATATTTATTAAGTCACTATCCTCCATTCGTCTTCAATGGCGAAAATTACTACCAGTTTGGGCGTTGCAACCACTTTCATCCATCAGATATTGCAGTTCATACACTGCAATATATTTCTCGTTTTTCTTCAAAGGATAGATGGGAAAAATAATTCATTACGAAGTACAGTGTTTCGGTATAAAATTTCTAGTACTTAGCATCGTGATAGGTTGTAAGCCTTTCATAATAATGTGTCAATGCAAATAGTTAGGATTGATAATTATTCGATTCAAACAATTTTAAAACAAAAAAGTTTATGGATATATTAATAGAACCGGAAAATAGGTGGCCCAAACGCTTGAATAGGTCACCGGGTTATTAGCGAATTGGGAGTATGTACTGCTTGTGGAGTTTTTGAAAACACTTAGATCTTACCATTTCTCTTCTAATGTATTACCTTTGTTTGTAGCAGATCCAATATTCCAGTTTCTGCTGGTCTAATCATTTATCATTCTATTGCTGAAAATGTACCATATCCTTGTTATGTACATTTTGGCTTGTTTTCTTTTAAAATAAATAGTTTTGTAAAACCCTTATTAATAAATCATAACTTCTCTAGTTAAGTGTTTTAAATACCCGTAATTTCTAGTTTGTCAGCATTATGGACCAACAGTTATTTTTGTCGTGTAATTTTATGTTTTTGGTGATATTGCTCATGATCCGTTATCCAATTTTATCCGTATAGGTATCACATTGTTGTGAGCATTTCAAACTCGTGCTGATTAGTCGTCTTCTTGCTGATTGTCTCTCAATTTTTCTCCTCTTACTGTTCTTTAAAAACGGTTTGGCGCTTCGTCATGTAGTTTGATTGCATTGGTACACATCTATTATGTATTTTGATGTGATCCAAGCATTTGTTTATGTTCTGTTAGTTGTTATACCTCCTGTAGTTTCATCTGTAGGAGATCAGACTCTTGTGTTTCATGAATGCAATCAGAAGTGCAGAGAGGAAATATGTGAATCTTCTTTGTCAAATAGACGAAGTTATTGGGATAAACACTTTAATTCTTCTCGAGTTGTAATCTTCGAGAATTCAATTCTTTGGGATTGTGAGTCTGAGTGCAAGTATCGCTGCATGTGGAATACTGTTTCTGCACTTGAGAAAAATGGTTGGCCTGTCCCTCAATTTAATGGAAAGGTGAGTTAATCATCTTTCTGTAATCTTATTACTAGTGGCCGTTCATTCGTCTCTGTGGTATACAAGAACCAGCATCTGCCATATTTTCCCTCCTGAACTTTATGTTCAATTGCCACATGTTCAATAAATTCTACAGATATGTTCCATACAATTCTCCTATGTATAAAACTTGGGTGATGCAAATTATCGTAAGTTTTCAAACACTAATTCTGTATCCCAGTTTTCTATGAACGCGTGGGTTTGGTCAACAATATTTCACACAAGGGACACATCGTTTACTGAAGCAAGTTCATTTTTAAGAATAACATGTGATTTCACAGAAAATGGATTATTTTAGTGCACTTGCATTTGTTATTGCATCTGTTATGGTTTTACACCGGAGAATTTTCAATCCGAATCGATTTATTACTATCCTGTTTTCTGCTCTTCTATCAGCCTTTTTTGTGAACCATGTAAATTACATGACTTTCGTTCATTTTGACTATGGCTATAACTTGACTGTCAACATTTTATTCGGTAAGTTTATTTTAAATAATCTCATGATTCATACACTATTTCTTTCTTTATCCCAGGTATTTTAACTAGGTTAGCTACTAAACATAAGTTACTGATCCCCTTATCAACAGATTATTTGATTGTTTGATAGCGATGTCTTTAGTCTCCAAGTGATTGTTTAGAATATCAAGAGGAAATTCAGCTTACCTTAGTGAAAATAAAGTGATGAGCAACAGAATTATGGAGAAATGGGGTTGATGTAGTACCATTTTGCACTCGACCAGCTTACGGCTGATTAATTACTGAGGTACCAAGGACAGTAATACGTGAGTTCACATTATCATACCTGTTAGCACCCTAGTAAGTTAAAAAAAAGCGAGGATGGAGGAAATTTGAATACTTTTTAAAACATGATACTTATGGCATGTGTGACATTTTGGTACATTAGAGGGCACTTAAGATATACTTTAGGTGTGTGATTTCATTTTCTAGTAATCATCATGTATAAGCTGTATCTGTCCGAATTCCACAATAACTAAATTTACAGAAAACTACTGAGTCATGATCTCCCAATACGAACATTCTGTTGAGTGACTAGCCCTTAACCTTATTCGTCTCAATATAAATTTATTCAAATCTAATATAGCTAGCAACCAGTTAAATCTAAGTTTGACTAATGTTCTTCCTCTACTTCAGTACAAAGACCTGATGAGCAATAAAATATGGTAAGAATGGTGATGGTTGAAAGCGTTCAGTTTTCAACTAGTAGGTCTCTAAGCAAAATCGTGTCCTAAGCATTTTAATTTGGGGAATCGGGTAGTTTCAATAGCTCAGATCTAAAGTGAGACTGAAGATTGAGTACACCGTCTTGCAAATGAGTTACAATAATGTTATTAAAGGTATAAAAGTGGCTCTCTTAAGTAGAGTACATTCGATTCCTATAACCTATAATTGACATGTTTATTTTTGTTAACATTATGATAATTAGTCGTTGTTTTAATTCAACAGGTCTAATCAATTGTTTTGGCTGGTTATTTTTCTGCATTTACTTTTGTGATTATAAAAGACAACCATATATTATTTATTGTTGGTTATCAGTTACATCCTCTATGGTTTTCATGCTGCTAGAATTATGCGATTTCGTGCCAATCGGTTGGATATTTGATGCTCATGCCTTATGGCATGCTTCTTCCATATTAATAATTATTCCTTGGTACAAGTGAGTGTAATTTATAAAGTAACGACTCCTACAGAATTAAATACTTCCTTCAGGAACAGGCATTTTTAATCACGAAAAGATATTATTTGGGTCCATTTGTTTCGTGTTAGTTTAGAACTTTACATTGGCCAATAAATCGTATTTAACATGTAATAGTTGTACAGTTGTTACTACTTCGTGATATTTATGAGTGGTTCCATGGGTTTCTCTTGCTTTTTGTCTTGTGTAATCTTTTTAGCATAAAATTAGGCGTCACTTTTACGGTCATCAAATTGAACTATGGGAAGATCGCGTGTGATCGCTATGCTGAGATTTTGTACGCTTTAATGGTAATTTTTGCTACGGATTGATATTGTCTAGGAAGCCACTAATAAGCAAGGGGTACTGAGAGACCATTTTGTCCTATTTTGGGTTTCCTCGAAATTGTCTACCTTCTGCTTCACACAACTTAAACCTAGGGCTCACCAGGTTTCGCGTCGAGTAAAATTCTAAGTAACTGACTATATGAAATCCCATATACACTCCATCCACTTTGTGACTTCACAGTCCTCATTCGTTGTTATATGTGCCTCATCATCTCCCAAATTTATTGACTCCATGGCTCTTCACTGCTTAATAAACATAAACTGAAGGATACTAAGACTGAAAAGATTTGGTAGTAATCAAACTTTCCTGTGTTCTTGACCAGTAGCAAACTACTTGTCAGTAATTAATATCATTCAAATTTTTTTTGAAAGAATCATTAATTTGTTACCGATTCGCGAATGTATTGTTTCCGTGTTGATTGTTTCCGATCAGTTAGTGATATTCAAAATTCGTTGGAAATTCTGTGAAACGGTGAAGTGCACTCGACTATAAGTAAAGATGCACTCCCCTACAATTCTAGTTTGAGTGTATTTTCATTCTATCAAGTCAACTATCTTGCTAAAACCCACCTCCATTTCATGCTGCATGGATGATGAGACACTTGTAAGATTCTTACTCCCATTACTGTTGAGTTACGCTAATTGCTGTTGGGTATGTAATCATGATGCTTAAACTTCTGTTGATATACTGGTAATTAATTTGTAGAAGCGCACTCTGTTGTTCATTAGTCATCAAAAATAACGTATTTCTCAGTGCTTTGTCTCGTAGCAGCTATCCTGTGATATATTTTCACTTACAATAGTTGTCATCCAACCAACAGATATGTTTGTAACCCACTTCACGTACTTTAATTTGTGTTTAGATAACAACAGTAACTATCACAATAGATACACGGTCTCACATTTGATTCCGGAGTCTAATAATCTCTATCTTAACTCAGTGGTTGTAAGCTAATAGATTCCAAGGTTTTTGAGAGTATTTCAGTTAGAAAAACTTAACTTTTGGATTGTCAGAACACAATTATCTTCGTGTAATTAAAAACAAATAATTGATTACTGAAAAATTTGTTTGGCTCAATGTTTCGGAGTCAAATTAAGTGAATTGGAATAATCAATATAACAAATCTGTAAATCACTAATTTCAAAAATTCATTAATAGTATGTGCATCAACTTTTTATATTATCAGTGATTGATTGTGTCATCAATACCCTTGATTTTTGGTCTAAAAAAATCGTACCCGTTGTTTGGAGTGAGGTGAATTGAAACCACTCAGAAGGTATGAAAGTACTTAAGCCTACAGACGTAGCAAACTTTATTTGTCTAGTTTCATAAATACGGAAATGTAATTTGAAACTTTTCGCCAATTTTATTCAATCCTTATAGAAATTGATAAGGATGTCCTTGGTATCAGTCATATTATTAGTATCTCGTTTCATTATCACTTCAGATTTATCATTGCTGATTGTCTTTATCTGTTGGGACAAGCTCCTTCAAAAAGTAAACCAAAATTCAATCATCTATCTGCCTAAGAAATTAGTATCAACAGTGAACCATGCTGTGATTCTCTAACAATCTTCCGATTGATTTGCGTTTATTTTTGTTTCGTGATTTCTTTATACTATGATTTTTTATTTCAAGTGTCATGATTACTTTATCATGACCGTTTGTCATTTTAACCCAGTTAAAGGTTAACTACACCTTTTAATCGAATATACAGCTTGATAATAAATTTATTGTATTGTTTCTTCTGCATTTTTCTAGTTTTTTTAATTCCAGAAAAAGTAATATTGTAAAATTCATTAATATTATCTAATGTAATTGAGTATGTTAACCAAATAAGTTACATTAATCATATTACGTCCCAATGCATTTACCATCTAATGTTTGCGCACTGGGGTTTGTGTCACACTGTATTATTTGAATGCTTGCGCTCATGGTTACCAAGATGATGGGGTTGTGTGTATTCACAATTGATTGATCACTGGGTGGTGACCAATATCATGTGTGTCAAGTCCTTATTAGTGCAGATCGATTGCTATCGACCATGATGCAATGTCGCCACCAGTCTAGGTGACTCGACACTGCGTGCACTATTGTGAGATTAGATGGTGGTTGGAGATAGTCGACAGGAAACCCTGGACCCGGGTTTCGTGCTACTTGACACTCGTCAGCAAGGTGTACCTGTAATCTTGAGGGTACTGGTGCTCCCTGACGGATTCGATCCCGTGTCACCCAGCTTCACTGTCAGACGTTACCACTGAGGTATCCGGGCCGCGACCAACCTCCTGTAGGACTGAGATGTAATCACGATTGATTGATCACCGGGTGGTGACCAATGTCATATGTGTCAAGTCCTAGTTAGTGCAGATCGATTGCTATCGACCATGTGTGTATTGATAGCAGACTGAAGTGTTATGTTCTAAGTTTTATAAATCCTATCGCTAACCACGTTTTAAGTTAGATGAGTTGTATTTACAAGACTGTCTAATGCTTAAAACATTTTTGGATATTAGTTTATCTATTCAAAGACATGAAAAGTGAAATCGTAACCAGCCAGTACAGAAGTAGTGTAGTTTCATTGGGTTTTGTTAAAAATACTCCACTTTGTTCAGTGATTTACACATGTGTGTTATTTATTCATATTTGTTTGTCAATGCATTACAGTTTCTGTTGAAAAGTCAACAGACCCTAGTGATCTTAAGTACCTAAAACTATGTGAATTAGTACGGACCATAAATGACTCATCAATACTAAAAAGACTAATCCACTAATGACTCATTAGCTGTGAATTTGAAGTAATATAACGGAATAGTGTAAAAGAAGGCAGAATAAGTGTGTTTATTGTGAAAAGTTATGAAGCATTTACATAATACATATACATAGCCTCCAATAATCGTATCTTTCGATGTATTCTGCAGTCCGAACTGAATCGTTTGGTCTCCATATGTTATGCCGACGCCGTTCTTCCTAAATACTCAAACTGCACTTTGACAATGTCTGCAACTCAAATGCCATGTTCCGCTACTTACAAATAGTCTTTTGAGTAGCACCTACTACCATATGGAACTAGTCCTAATGGATCTAGAACTTCAACAAGACCTAATCGATAACTCAAAGTATGCAGCATGAAGCTATATTGCATTATTGTGGTCGTTTTAAACACTTAACTGTATAGTGGATGTGTTGGCTATTCACTCGTTAGCAAAATGGAGATATGTCTTGATCTCCACCTAGTCATTCAGCGTCTATTAACAAAGCCCAGCTATCCAAATACTGGTCTATTTATCATCGGATATTAAACAGCCTAATATAGTTCACTAGCAGGGAGATGTACATGTTAATGAAATAACAAGACGTGACTTTATATAACTTTTTGGTTAGTTTAGCTTCCCGACATGCTTGCATTCCGCTGTTAAGTTTTACAGCATGAATTCAAATATTCACTCACTATTATCTCGTGTTGCTGAAGATTTGAGGGAGTTCTGTTGACTGTAATTGACTTCCTGTCTTTTTTAATGGATTAACACTTTAACGTAACTTAGGCGGCTGTCGTGCGCCATCATTTTTCATAAACAGATGAGCACAGTCTCCAGACGCGATTATGGATGTCTCACATCTCAGTGCGTGGAGAGAAATCTGTTTAAATTTTGAGTATTGTTTGAATTGTTACAAGTAGTTGACTATTCACAGTGAAGACATTTGCGCGATTAAGATATTCGGCTGGATAACACTGTATTGTTTTG